TGAGATGAGATGAGATGAGATGAGATGAGATGAGATGAGATGAGATGAGATGAGATGAAATGAGAGTAGAAATGAGGAGAGGTGAGGAGAGGAGAGGAGAGGAAAAGAGCAAAGAGGAAATGAGAAAAGGTGAGATAGGATGAGATGATTTGCGCTGAGTTCCGACGAGGTGCACTAAGATTATAAGTGATTAAATGTGATGCTGTAAGATGAAATGAAATAATTGCAGACGATTTCACAATTCAAAACAATAGATGGCATGAGATTAGATGTGATCAGATAAGTTGATTTTAGATTTTATGAGGCGGACTGATATAAGTTGACATAGGATGAGTTTAAAGTATTTGAGTTAAAATGGGAATAAACGAGATTACATGTGATGTAAGGAGATGATTTCAGTTAAGTTGTGATGAGATGAGAAGAGAACATAAGATACTATATGCGTTGAAATTATATTAGTTGATTTGAAATCATATGACTTAAGTTAAGATGAGTTGACGCAACTTGATATAAGTTTAGAAAAAATTAGATTCAATTAATCAGTTGAGATGACATGAGATATTTTGAGATGTTTATGCTGAATTGAATACTGATTTGAGGAGTTATGAAGAGATGAGATGAAATATTTTGAGATGAATTAAAATGAGTTAATATTGGATGAGATGAGATGAGATTCCAAAGAAAAAGATGAGATGATATGATATATAATAAGATGAGGTAAGATGATATAAGATAATTTTCGTAATTAAAAGACTATAAGAGATAGATGCATTGAGATAAAATAAGTTGATTTGATATGATCTGATCTGAGATGAGATGTTGTAATAAATTGAAATCAGTTGTTATGAGATCTGTATGGGTTAGTTAAGATGGGATAAGATGTTACGGGATAAGGTAAGATGAAATGAGATGAGATTAGTCGAGTCAAGGTGTGACGAAATGAGATGACATATGAACGAGTGAGATGAGACGATATTTGATGAGTTGAGATCATATGATATCATATTCAGTTAAATAAGCTGAGATAAGTAAAATAAGATTCGATGTGCTTATTTTATATGATTTTTAGTGAGATGTGATGATATATGATTATATGAGTTAAAATGAGTTTAGGTGAGATGGGCTGAGATCTGTTGCCATGAGATTAGACGAGATGAGATATGATATTATGAGATAATTTGAGATGAGATGAGATGGATTGATATGAGGTAAACTTTGATGAGATAAGATGTGATTCATTTGGTATATTTTTTATATCGATTTTAATTTAGTTTAGAATAATTTATCACGAGATCCCATTTGGAGATTCAACATTTATTATGTTTACTCAGATTGACAGTTTCCCCGTCCTATTTTCTATTCACACGCCCTCTTATCGTAAATGTTATGATAACAACTTTTGAAGCCAGTGATTTAGTTCTAATCTCATTTTTCTCTATGCATTTTTCTGTCCCCTTTTTCGCAATTTTTTAGTAGTTGTCAAATTCTTCGGGCTTAGCACCCTGTCCAGTGTCATCTTTCACTTTCGTAGCATGCTTTACCTGCCTCGGACATAAATCTACCCAAAGCCAAGCCCTTTGCGACCGATGGAGCTTGCAAATATTTATTTACTTTTGTTGCGTTTCTCTCTAGCATTGGCTGAAAATTCTTCTCAAACTGGGTTATATTAGCTTACAGACTTCCGAGGGGTTGTTAAGAGATTATATCCGGATGCTAGAAATTTCTCAGTAAAATAGAAATATTTTTTCGAGACCTACCTATACTCAATATAAGTGACACCCTCGATTGTAATGAAAAGTACGTTAAAAAAAACTGCACAGATGTTAATTTTATGAGGTCTGGCTTGCCTTAAAGACCACATTTTTCCGGTGGTTGCAAGGTTGAAGCAGCCAACCAGATTAGATGAAGATACCTTCCGGGGAAGGAAGACCAACTGAAATTTAATGTTATTGTGAACCCTAACCATTTTGTTGTAGAAAAATTCAACTAACCACCATAAACTCATCTTAACCGATGTAGAATAATAAAGTTCCTATCTAGAAATTGTTCATAGTTTAGAAACATATCTTCGCCGCCTTTAAAGTTGCTCATTTGTGTGGTGAATGACCCGTTTTTAAGGCTTTTCGGAAGATGAACGAACGTTTCAGAATGTCAAAATGACCGGTAAGGCTTTCGAATTGAAATGGCCTAAATTCAAACATGGCTACCCATAAATTTTCTATAATCCTGTAGGAAATTGAGCGTAACGATATTACAAAGCTGTTGAGGAGGTAAAATGAATGCAGAAAGCTGGAAAAATTAATTTTTCTACTTTATTGAAGATTTCTTCGCAAAATCCCATGGCCACAACTCCAGGGCAATCCTACTTCGGTATCCGCTGAAGCCAAATTACAAATCCTTTCCAAATGCATTTTTAAACTAAATTAAAGTTACATAAGCATTTTGCTGGCTCGAGTACTTTGCACCGTTTTGTAGGCCTGATAATTATTTCATTATTTATTTTATTTATATATTATATATATATATGTATATATATATGTATATATATATAATATTATACATAATTTATATTAGGCCTGCTGGAGTAGAGTTTAGTTGGTGTTGGAAAAGTCCCATTTGATTGTATATGCATAGATGCACATTCACCCATGAATGAACATAACCATATATACAGCACACTTACACACCCATAAACGCACATACTGGATCACATGCTATGAAAAAGTGCTATTCACCCTATTGTATTCCATCGCTCTAGGACGCAATTTAGAGTTATGATATGAAGAATAATTGGATTTCAAAGAAGCTATTAGCAATTTTCAGGCTGCTTTAACCCAAATATCAATTGAACTGGCAATTGAGAGAGATTCGAAAACCGGCCTAACTGTAAACTGAGGATTGCTCTGGAGTTTGAACAATGCATCACTACTGCTCTTTCGGCTTTCACATAGTGATAGGAAGTGTTAAAGCCGAAAACCAATCATATTTGCACCAAGCCAGGAAAGATGGCCGGAAGTAATTCGACTTATTTTGTTTAGCTTAGCTTGTCATTGTGACGAGGCATTACATGATCCGGTTTGCTACTCTACTCTTCCTCCGACATGTTAAGCTGATAGTTGAAAAGAATCTGGATGTAATCACACTCAAATCCTAAAACAAATATGATTGCCTATGATTCTAGAGTCTGGTTTATGCTCTAATAGATCAATTTAGTCACTAGCATTCAGGTTATTCATGCGAGGAAATGGCTGCTGAGCAACCAAATCCTCTTCATTAATCAACTTTACTCACTTTTAAGTATGCGAGAGAATGAGATAGCCAATGTTCGAACAAATTGTAACTCACAACTCCACAACTACCCTCGTTCGGATTTAAGTGAGGCGAATTGCCGACTGCCTTCCACTTTTCATAACGTATGACATGAAATTAAAACACATTTTTACTAATATTATCGTCAAATACGTTCATGACCACATCTGCAAGTAAGACACAGTCAGTAAATCGAATAAGAATAAAAATCATGGTTCTCAAAGGGTTCGCATGCACAAACTGTCAGTCATTTTGTATGGCTTTGTATTAAGATTGGCTCCAAAATATTTAGACCCCTTAAGAATCTTGAAAAGGGAGAAGTTAACTCTAAATTGTAATGCTATGCTTTCTAGGCGAATCCTCCTCAAATATGAAACCCTTGTACCTACCGAAATTGTATAAATGTATTTTACATTCTTGATTTTCGTGCAGGTTCAATGTGTCATCCATTGACACCCTCAACAAGCCCGATTGCAAGCATTTCTGTTTACACTACTTTCAAAAATACTGCTTGTTGCGGAGCTGGAGGAGAAGTCCCACGGGAGACATTTCAAGAGAACCAGATGTCCACGACGGAAAAGTTCACTATTTTCTTTAAAAGAGATCCAGCCCTCCTAAACTTTGAAACCGGTAGGGCTTCGGTCTCTATAGAAGACGGAGCCCCTCTTGAAAGCGGTAAGAATTCTCCTTCTACGCCGATCAGCAAAACGCGAATGAAGCCTCTCCAAATTGTTTCCCCGAAATCGCAGAAGCAGTTGAGATCAAACGTGAGTAGAAAGAGGAGACGCTAAAATAAAATACTAATTAAAATAATTTAATAACGCTAAGAAAAAGTGATTTATAGCCCCAAATAATGCAGAATAGTGTAAGCCAAGGTCCGTTTTGGCTTTAGAAAAATCGGAGAATTGTGCATTGTAAAGTCTCTCGAAGTAAAGCGTGGTTTCAGCAACACACTGAAAGTCTTGGAAGTGGTAGGAGATAGGACAAGTGCAAAGAAGCCGTATTCAGCTTTGCTGTAGATGGTATATTGCCTGGTCTGGTGTTCGCGAACATCGACGCATTTGAGCATAACCCTTTTTAAGATAAGTTGGGTAAAAATACGTGACAAACCAAGTCATGTTTTGGGGACCAAACAATTTCGGACCAGTCCATCATGTCTTTTATTGTTGGGGCGACTTTCATTTCGCACGAAAGTGCATGAAGCATAGATTAGAAGTTCGATCTCACCTGAATCCCGTTTGGCTCTACTACGACGTCCAGGCTGACTCACTCCATGAGACAACCTCCCGCGTTTCGGGTGAAAACGGACTCATCTGTCTTCCAGCAAATGACGGACATCATCAGAGCTGGAATACATTTTAATAAAAATCTAACGTTAAAACTTGGTCAAGAAGACTATCCGGCTCTATCTTACCTCTCATATGGACGATTAACTAAAAACGACAATTAATAGTTAGATATTCATATATATATATATATATATGTGTGTGTGTTTGTGTGTGTGTGTTTGTTTGTGTTTGTTTGTGTGTGTGTGTGTGTGAAAGTCTATTCTCAATATCGGTGCTAGATCAGAGTGATCAAAA